GAGAGAGAGAGAGAGAGAGAGAGAGAGAGAGAGAGAGAGAGAGAGAGAGAGAGAGAGAGAGAGAGAGAGAGAGAGAGATGGGATGTGAAGAATGTGCATGCATTGATGGTAGCTATGCTGCATAGTTTAGGCCAGCAAGCACATCCCTCACTGGAAAGTAACTCGATAGAGACAAGGTTTGGCTATGGAACAGTGTGAATGAGCCTTCATTTTTTTGGCTAATGAATCGTAAGTACTAAGTAGGTGTTTGCCACACTCAACTCAGCCATGTGGCTTAATGGTACACAGTGCTACACACATGTAAATATTGTTAATCAGAACATGCAGGGAAGCTCAAATTCGTTTTTCAAAATTTTTTGTGGATGTTTGTTTTAGACTTAGTTCAAAATTCAAATTTGGAGGGAAACAGATGAATGCTATAGGGTTAAGGGACGACTATTCCTTCTATTCCTTTCAAAACCAGCAGTATGTTTCCCAGCCAAAGAATATAATCTGCGGCTTTTGTGCAGCTGCAACTTTCGGGGCTCGGCCTCCAGAGCAAAATGGCTGGTGGCACCTGCCAAAAGGAGGCCCGCACCGGTTCATATTTTTTGGTGGGCAGGGCGTTTCCAGCCCTGGAGAAAAGTGCCTCGGAAGTACTGGTGGTTTAGAGGATTTTTGTGAATGCAAAAAGAGGGTGATTGCCACCCTCTTTGGTGTCTATTAACCGCTTTTTGCCACACTCTTTTGTGCCTACGAACGACTTCTTGCCACACTATTTTGTGTCTACGAACGACTTTTTGACAGCTTCTGCAAGAAATGGACTACTTATGTGGAGGACTGTCCATGACTGGGTGTGCGTGGGTTTGTACGCGGGGTAAGGCGTGCATGGGTTTGTGCGAGGGGTAAGGCGTGCATGGGTTTGTGCGAGGGGTAAGGCGTGCATGGGTTTGTGTGAGGGGTAACGCTTGGCTGGCTGCTATCTTCTCTTTTGTGTCAAGAGCGAAGTGCACGTGGAGGATTGCTTGTGGGCGTGATTAAGTTTGCTTGAGGGGCGGCGATTGGGTGCCTCGATTGGTTATGTTGTGAGTGTGCAGCAAATGCATGCAGGTGCTATTGTCCGTATAAGGGTGAGAGGAGGAGGGGGAAGCTCCCAGGGAATGCGAACCTTTCCGGATGATGCTGGCCAGGATGTTTCGCTCATCTACCATGATGGTATCGTTTGTCTTAATGCTGCAGAACTCCAGGTAAGTGTATTTCGGACTATTTCCATTGCACAAGATAGACAAGATAAGGTAACTTAGGTAAGGTAAATATAAAGACAGATATAAAGATAAAGATAGAGACCCAATGCGATATGAGATGCGATGTGATGTGTTGCGACATGACGTGATATGACTCGACGCGGCGCGATGCAATGCGATGCGATGCGGCTTGACGTGACATGACACGATGCGACATGACGCGAAGCGATGCGATGCGACGTGAAGCGATGTGATGCAACACGTGCAATGCGATATGGTAATAATATAAGATGCTGTTCACTCCCTGTGTCCTGAACTGCTTCTGGATGCTATTATTAGTTTAGTACGCTTTGGGATTTACCAGACAGTGAAGCTGTGTCGTCAGTATCTGGTCACCAAGTACATGGCAGTCAAGTCACAAGATGGGATCATGAAAATAATCATTGTTACGATCCTGGTCATTCCAAAGTGCAAATTCACAATGAAAGACAATGCCACCCAATTGCGAAAGAAATGAAAGCACTTGCAAAGAGATAGAGAAGATGAAGAAGAAGAAGAAGAAGAAGAAGAAGAAGAAGAAGAAGAAGAAGAAGAAGAAGAAGATGTTCACCAGCCAGACCAATGACAAATCCCCCTTCTCTCTCCACCTTCCTCCTCCTCCTTCACTTCGCCAGTCTTATTCTTCTCCCAATAATAATAATAACAATGAGTGGATGAACCAGAATCAATGTCTGAAGTTCCCTCTTACCACTGACACAACAACAACAACAACCACAACCACAACCACAACCACAACCACAACCACAACAACAACAACAACAACAACGACGACAACAACAACAACAACAACAACAACAACAACAACAGGTCCACCATAGCTATGGCTTCCCCCCTTCTTCCACCTCTCACATGCCTAGGCTATGGCGGACTACTGAGGGCTCAGTCCTCCTGTGCAAAGGACAACGCAAAGCAGCTATGTGGCTGCACTCCTGTCCAAAGGACAACCCAAAGCAGCTATGCCGCTGCTGACTAAGCCGCCATGCCTGACTCTGCCTCGAGCTTCCTTGGTGCGGCACTACCCCAACTGGGGCCTTCCAGATGCAGCGCCCAACAAGGTGATGAAGATGGTGTCCACCATAGCCAGGTAGGTACCTCGCCACTCTCCTCCTTCGCCCCCTTCTTCCTCCTCCTCAGGCTGGGCTGCTCGCCATAGCCAGGCTGAGCGCCCAGCTGCCCTTCACCTCCAGGCAGCGCTGTGCAAGTCCAGCACTTGGCTCAGCAGCATGTCGCCAATCCTTGCATACGGCAAATGAGGAGGAGCTACTTGCTCCTCCAGAAGATATAGCGGCCTACTGGTCTCCTGGGCGGTGACTTCCTAGGCCGAGCGGCCTCCCAGCAACCGGTACCTCCTCCCTTTCGGAGGGAAACATCATTGCAGGCTCTGCTATCGTCCGGACATGCCCTAGACTCAGGCTACTTGGACTGGTACCGGCCTACCTCTATCCTACCGCTACTGGGCCTCTAAAAATGCCAACTTTTTGTCTTCTTCTGCTCGGCCTCCAGTACCTGACACTTCTACCACTACTTGAGTGGTACCGGCCTACGTGCTACTTGAGTGTTTTTCCCCGCTGCTCTAAGAGTCGTGGGCCTACCCCCGCTACTTGAGTGTTTTTCCCCGCTGCTCTAAGTATCGGGGGCCTACCCCCGCTACTTGAGTGTTTTTCCCCGCTGCAGCCCTCAAAGTCATGGCCACAGGTAAGTACCGGCCCTGCGAGGCCTTTCAACCAACAAGTACCCTTGCGGGTCACACACACACTCAGCCGACAAGCACTCCGACAGGCACGCAAACCAGCAGGCACGCACACACACACAGACTCGGAAACCACAGCAGAATGCGGGAATCTCATCAAGGCATTCATTCCAGCGGCAAATCCCAGAAATCAGCAGTGTTCTCAGTCTGTGTTTTGGCAGGTCATTACATCATACTTGTTGGCAGGAGCAGCAGCCCTCAGATATGAACCATGCCAGTTGAGCTGTGCAGCGTGGGCCTTGTCCTCTACACAATCTTGAAGATGATGACAAAGAGGAGCACTCCACTGATAGATGTTGACGACGTCCTCCCAAAAAGTGATCTGCACTCCTGAATGAGGTTTCAAGATACCCTAGAGGCAGATATTTTGTGCATGAAATAGGACTTGTGAAAAGAGATTTGGTTGCTGCTGCCATGTGTTCCGGGCCTGCCGGATATGCCCAGCCCAGTAGCCTACCGCCTTCTCCCGAATGCAGCACACACTGATCATGAATGTACAAGCTACTTTTTCCTGTCCAATACAGTGATGATTAAAGGTGCATTGTATTCACAGGCAGAAGTTGGCATTATTGAATGGTATCTGTTGCAACCAGACCATTCCAGCTGCGTGTACCACAATGTGCAGCAGAGTCAAGCAGACCTCTTTTTTTGGTCCACATATACTTCTTCTAAAAAAAAGTTTGAATTTTTTTTTTTTTTTTTTTTTAATAATGGAATTACAAAGACTTCTGGATCTGAATGTCGAAAGCTGAGTTGTAGAGACTGGATGTGGCCATTTCTGTCCCTAGTTAATCCGTCCCAGCGCCCGCACCAAAGCTGGGTAATGGTCCGAGCATGTTTTTTCCGGGTTGTTTGTTGAGGGATTCCTGGCCTCATTTCCTTTTTGGCAATAAAATGATATTTCTTTTGTAAACAAAAAAAGAAAAAAGTGGGACTTTTTTTTAGAACTGAAATACAAGTGCTGTGTGTTTTATTTTCAGCTGAGAATGTGTCATGGTTTGGAAGACCAGAGTTGCGGACTCTAGTAGATAATGGGGGGGGTGCGTGCTTGAGTCTCTTATGTATTTCTTATCGAGTTGCCGGGGGAAAGGAACCGGACTGTTGCTCCCCAGAATGGTAGGAGCCAGAGCCACGAGGTTCTGTAAAAAAAAAAAAAAAAGAATAGAAAGCACGGCTGGGCTACCAGGGTTGCCTGGGCCTGAGCATCCGGGACGCACCTGCACGGGCCACCTGGGCAAGGCAGAAAATGAGTTTTTTTCTTTTTTCAAAATCTCATGGTGGGGCATTTCTGCACCCACTATGCTGTGACAGGGTATATACTCAACTGTGTTAACCACCATGCTGTGTCAGTTCATGCTTTTTGTTAGACGGCCTTCGATCCCTGTACCTCGTAGGATTGTTTACTTGGTTGTTTCAGTGTTAGGAGTGTTCGGACCTGTAGGATGGTTGCGGGGCTTCAAACACTTTACCTGTCTTTGCGTAGGCAATTTTTGGGATTTGCTGTACTATGCAACTGGACCTAGGATCGGTAGTGGGGTAGCTGGGTACGCCTTTGGACGGGCTTCGACCCCTGTACCCCCGCAGTGTGACGCATTGTTTGTTTTTTCACTTGTTAGGAGTGGTTGTTTGTTTTTTCACTTGTTAGGGGTGGTCGGACCTTCAGGCCAGTTTGCAGGGTTTCGAGCACTTTGCCTGTTTTTTGCGAAGGCATTTCCTGGGATTTGCTGTACTGTGCAACTGGACCTAGGATCGGTAGTCGCTTGCAGTAGGAATTTTCTAGATGTTATACTGAACCTGTGGTACAATCTAGGTTACATACGTAGGACCGGTTATCGTCTGATTACCTAGGGTGGCAACTATAATTAGCCTGAGTGCGTGTGTCTGGGTCTTTTTTTGGGTCCGACGCATTGTTGATCTCTGAGCATCTCCGGAGATGCTTAGTTTGGTCAACAGCGACGGTGGGTTGGTGGCAAGACGGTGTCTGACGAAGAGGTGCTAAAGGTGGTGAAACCCCCTGATGAGGGCCGCGTGGCTGCCGTCGAAACCGGTCGGGGAGCCATATCCCAACTGGCATGCGCTCACATTTGTACTTGTGTATCTTGGTACCATGTACGGGATTATACATCAGTCTTTTTGATATGTGCTTTGAGTGTAACGCTTTGAGTGTGTGATCTTAAACTGTGTATTCTCCTTCTCCTATTTCATGCAACTCATCTTAGGGGGTCGCCAGCGTATAAACTGGGTTTAAAGGGGGTTGAAGGGGCTTAAATTGGTGTGCCATAATTTATAGAGTTTTTTTTTCTTTCTTTCTTTGATTTAATGAGGAATAAATTTTTGGAGTGACCCTCAGCCAAAAGCTGTTCGATTTGTTGTTCTGCATATAATAATTTAAAATTTAATTGCATTTTTTTTTTGAATTATTTCTCCATATTTGTTTTGTGGAGGGGCTGCACCTTGAGTGGGACCTTGTCTGGATCTGGCCTGGCAGGGCCGCCTGGGACGCCAGCCGGGGTGGCCTGTGCGGACTGGCTGGTAGCCCAGTCGCATGGTCATTGTGCCTGTATTTGTGCCAAGTTTCAGTCTAGATACAGCGATAATGACCGTGCGTTCTATACAAATGACAACCGTCATATCAATCTGATTACCTCAGGATTGGAACTGTCGAGCTGGTCATCACCAGTAACATGTGTATACCATTCAGCCACACGGGCTGGGCGGAGAAGCATGCAAGCTGGATCTTAGAATTTTTGAAAAACAATTTGTTGTGAGATTTAGTTGCCTCAGCAAATCTGGAGAGTGTGGAAAAAGAGAGAGAAGAAAGAAAGCAAGAACGAATGTTAGGTGCGTAATCCACCTATTGGTTGGTTAAATGATCCCTGGTCCGCCTATTTGGTGGCAGGCCACAATTTTGATTCCTAGTGAGTTGATCTTTGACTTCTTGTGTGTTTGTGGACACATAGAGACGGCTTGATGCCCCTGCAATGGTGCCTAGTTAACGTCTGACTGGCGCCGCGAGTTAATCCCTCATGTGCACTTCTGTTAAATTAAGTCTGGGTACATCGGGGCATCATGGATTGGATTAACATTCGTGATGGAGTGGCGTGAAGTGTTCACAAGGGACTTCACTTTCACCCTAGCTCACTTCACCCATTGGTTAAGTGAGCCACCTCTTCCGTGGCAGGTCCTAGGTTCG